TTGTGAGATGAGCTTTAGCAAGATGTCTTGGTGTCGTCGTGCCATCCATCACTGTCCCAGGACTCTGCTTTCCTCCCATCCTGCCCAGAGCCCACCTCATCCCAACATCTGCTATTTCCAGTCTCCATCTCCTGCTCAGTCTTTTCCTGGGCGGCGGTTGGAGCTTGGACATTTTGCCTACCCCAGCACCCTTCTTCCAGGGGGAAGGGGCAGGAAAGCATTTCTTGCTTCATCTCTAATTGTAGGAACACGGTAGAACTTTACATTTTTAGTGGTGCTTTTGCACATCTGACTATCCTACTCAAAGACTTGATCTTTGGGTTGATACTGAAGAAAATGGAAGAGTGTGTCTAATTTCTTATGCAGGGATCTCATGTTATGAGCCTCGTAATACCATGTTAAATTCAAGGCTGTTGGTGGTGTCCAACTCCATTGATTTTCACTGGGAATATAGACATACAGAGAGCAGTTTGGCTCATTTTTGCATTGTAACAGCTGCCCTCAAAACCATTTTCATTAAAAAAACATCGAGACAAGCCTTATATGTCACAGATTCCTGTTGCATATTTTTTCAATGTTTCTCTCCAATCAAACTATTGGAAAAAAAAACATTCACCATCTGAATATTTTGGTTGCTAATGTGAGGAAAGACAAGAAAATTTCCCTTCTGTTTTCACAGCAGAATGATTTATCACAGCTTGCTAAATTCTGGAGTGATTAAGTCATATTAAAGACATAACTAAAACAAGTATTTGATTTCTGGCTTTTGAAGTTTTATACTTGGTTCAAGAACACATTTTGATTTTGAATGGGATAATATTTCTTCACTATAACACAAATATTGCTCTCCTTCCACAAGTGGTCATAATGAAACCGGTAAAATATGCACAGAAGAAATGCAAGCAGCATTTGGCTCAATATAAAGATTGATAATGTAACTACCTAAAAAAAATGCTTTTTATCATCATAAGTCTCTCCTGTTTTTTTATAGTTTTCATTGAGCAAAACAATCCATCATACTTGAACTTCATGCACACTCCTGAAGCCAACAGTTAGTACAAGTCAATTTTTAATTATGATATTTTTATAAAACTAAAATTTATTTCCTGATTTTGTAAAACACTTTAAACAGCAAGTCATTGATATAAATGATGTAAATCTCAAGTGACCCCAAAGTCATTAATCTGACTGAATTTCACAGAGAAACATAGTATAGCAATAACCCACGAGCTCTGCATCCGACACCACAGAACAGCAAAGATGGCTACAGCAGTGATGAACAATGGGAAGTCACAGTTTTGTTCTAGACTAGAGTGATTTTTAACCTTTTAAATAAATTTCCTGTCGTGTTTAGAATACCTGTTGCAGTCTCACATTTAGGACCAAAGGAAAATGGGTCTGTTAACTCTGAAAAAGAGAGTAAAAGGTTATCATCTATAGCGCCGTGCAAAGAGCAATGAACCCCTACTCCAAAATATTGAGCTTTACAGCCAACCTGCCTGTGAACTTGTCCTCATCCTTTTCCTACAGAAAACCACAGCAAATCCTGTTGTCGGCAGAAGAAGGAAATCTGCCCAGAGGGAATGAGGGCAATGGTTGTCCTTTGGTAACAGCAGCCTCATGCCATTCCCAGCAGTGCTTTGGAGGAAACACAAAAAAGTCTATTGAGGCAAATCCCTTTCCCACATCTTTTTACTGCTACAGCCCAAAGGCTGCAGAGCCTCTAGGAAGGTCTTTTCCCCAACCTGTATGAAGCACAAACTCCCCTTTGTCCTTTCCATCTCCCGTTACTGCTCCTTCCCCAGGGTGAGCCCCGGCGAGGGCTTCTGCAGCCTGCGAGGCAATCTCGCCTCTCCAGACCCGACACCTGTTTCTCTCAGTTAAGCCAGTTTGTGTGTGCCTGCTTTAAAACCTCTTTTTTTGATTTTCCAGCTGTTCTGCCTTTTGGTGGCCACCTCAGTCCTCTCCAGCTGCTATCTTTTTAGGCACAGCTGTGCTGGCTCCATCCTCATCTGCTGGCAGCAGCCTTCTGCCTTCCCTTCATTCGCATCCATGGACATCGGCTGTATCCTTGTGGAATTAATGCTATTAAAATACCATTGAAGTATGTAAAGGATGAGAAGATGGCACAGGGATGAATGAGGGTTTTTTGCTCATGCACAGGAGAGAGAGTCACAGGATTTAACTTCTATTCTACACTAAGAGTACTTCATGAGTCTCTTTTTTTTTTTTCTTTTAAAAGTAGGATGTGGTTACTGTTTGGGTCCAGTCTACATTGACTAACATCATCACGTTCATGTAGACCAAAAAGGAGAGGAATTATTTGAAGGCGAAGTATCCTGGCTGCTAGACCTTTCCAGCTTCGTTTGCTTTCTACACCCTTTCTTGCACTATGTGAAAGTTTGTGCAGGAGATCAGCAGGTGAGAGGCAGCAACTGCAGCATTTTAGGATGTTTGCTAAAATGCAGTTGCAGAGTAGAGCAAGATGGCTAAAAAAAAATCTGATTACTTTTTTTACCTTTCCTCGGGGACAATTCCCACATACTCCATTCTTTCTTTAGCACTAAAAATGGTTTCTCTTCTCATTTACAGAGTAAGATATACAGTCTGTACTACAGTTCATATTTTTGGAACTTCAGATGCTCTTACGTCTTACAGGCAAATGTATATCCCTATTTATACTTCTTATATTGACCCAGTTACGCAGTGGCAATAAAATTCCATAATAAGAAATAAGAGCTCTCATTGCACATTCACAAAGCCCTCCAAAGAGTAAAGGAAGAACAGACTGTAAATCTCATAAATCCAGCCTAATTTATGCATAGTGAGAGTCTACAAATCAGACATTTTTATATTCCAGGATATTTATGATAAGATGGTGATTGTATAAAAAAAACCCAACAATAATTCAATAATTGATGATAAAATAACAAAATAGACAAAAGTTTTCCAAAAAAAATTTAACAAAAGTGAAATATTATAAACAATAATGTGGCCTGTAGGCATTAAATCAAATTTGCAGTGGGTGAGGGCAAGGATAGCATTTCAAAACTTTCAGAACTTTCTGATCCCCTGAACCAGAACCTTCCAGCTTTGCTGCTTCAGCAGCTGCAGTAATATGCAGATATTTCCTTTCATCAAATATTCCCAAGTAACCTGAGGGGGGGGGGGAAACCGTGGGGGGGGGGGGGGGCGGTATTCTAAGCATCATACTAATTTTCAGTGTCCAGAAGGTGTTTCAGGTGTTACATCCACAAGAGAAAAGGGATGGTCAGCTGGAGCTGTCAGTCCAGCCAATGTGGTTGGAGGCATCTTTGACTTTTTGCGTGCCACACAGATGACTTGTTTTGGTCACCCCCAGGTTCTGACAAGATATACCTGAAAGAGGATTTGGCAAATGCCACCATGCAGAGCTCCTTCAGTTACGTTATAAAAGCCCCTCCTATATGAACCCTGTCATTGCTCTCGCTCTGTCCATGACCCTTGCCGTAGAGACCTGCTGCATCAAATCCATCTTAGAAATAGATATTGTGCTGAAGTCACCTAGATTTTTACCTTTCAATAGCTAGAAATTCCCTAGTTTCCACCCTAAGTATGTTCATAGATGTTGCTCCTAAAGCGGGTGTTCTCACAACAACATTCTCCCTTAACCTTCAGGCTTCCCTTCCTCCTAGGTAGGTATCAGCAACATGACATACATCCTCAGTCTCCCTTTTGCTAGGCTAAGCAAATTAATTTTGATCGCTACTTACAAAACAAGCTCTTCTTTCCCCTGATTATCCTAATAGCCATTCCCCCTGCTTGCACAAATCTGAGCATGTACGAAGGGATCCAAATGAGGTCTACACAGTGGCATTAATTTGACTGTTGCTCTACTGTATTTTCAGCACTGAAAGCAGCTTTTCATATTACGGTGGAAACAGTCACCTTGTGATCAGATAGCGTATCCTTCTTTTATTGACCCAATTCTATTGTTAATTCTCAGGTTTGGTAATGTACTGCTCTGCCCTGGAAGTATTCAAGTCTCATTTGTATGTGAACAGGGCTTAAAAGGGTTTTTGGAGATAATGCTAGATAACAGTATATAAGACGTGTGCATACTCAATTCAATGGTATTTGTTAGAGAAAGGAGGAAAACGAATGCGCAGCAACAAAGGAAATTCTGTGACTCAGCTAGAAAGGTAAAAAGCAGGAATCCAGTAAATATCAGTCTTTTGAGATAATAGCTTTCACTGTTCAGCTATTCTTCACCAGTTCCTTATCTAAAGCCTCTGTGGCACACGCTGATGAGAGAGAATTCGACCCACAGAGCCTCACAGGGGGAAGCAAAGTACACTCTAGGCCCACTTTTCAGCCCCTTAACAATTATGAATGCTTTTTGTTGATCATATAGATTAGAAATCAGGCAAACACGACTTTCCTACCTGGAAGGCATGTTCCGATTTACAGTATTTCTGCTTATGGAACCTCTTTCTCCTGTTTCATATTGTTCAAGTGTGTGTCAAGGTCAATTTTGTCTGAGGGCACAGTGGCCAACAATGCAAAATTTGTGCTTGCATGATTTTTGTGTGATTATGAAATTCTCTTGCTGCTTTCAGGAATTCCCACGCAACCGATCGTTTCTGCCTTGCTCTTTCCAATTTAAGTCATTGTGAAACACTCCAAAAACATAAATGCAGATCATCCTGCTTCCTGCCTGACAGCAGTTTACAAAAACTGATGGTGAATCTCTTCACAGCTCTGCTTTTTTTTCTTTTTTCTTTTTTTTTTTTTTTCCCCCAGGCATCCTGGTGAGTCTGTCTTTCTCTAGGAAACATAAAGTATCCAGCCTGGTTAGTTAAAACTCAGCCTGGTGAGTAACATGCAGCACCACCAAAGCCCACGTGTCTTTCCTCCCTCCGCATCCCAAAAGAACGTGCCATCTACATGTCTAGGAGGCACTCAGTCCGATATCATTCTTCATAGTCACAGAGAGCTTTTATAAAAACAGAAGGTGCCGCATGGGGCTTGAAGAAGCAGGACAGCCATCCCATAGCCTGGGTGGCTGCAGCGGCCACCGTGGTCCCCCACCCCTTGCTGTGCATGAAATAAAGGAAAGTCAGGCAAAATACAGACATGTTGGAATCAAATGGCCTTTTTCTAGAGTGGAAAGATCAGGTAGGTAGACACCGATTTTATCCAAGACCCATAGGAGAAGATTACTTGTTGCTGTCTGATGTCCGCAAAGAGCCGCAGTCTTGCTCTCACTCAGCCTATCGATGCACTGGTGTTCACCTCTCATTTCAGTCTTCCGCAAGCAATATAATAATTTTGGAGGGTAATACTTATGTATTAGTGTCTGTATTTGACTTGAAGAGGCAGATGAATACAACTGAATAAGTGTCAACTGTTAGATCATGGGACTTAATGTATTTTTGGAAACCGGAGAGGGAAGTTTTAATTGCAGAAAGATTTTGAGATCACTGAGATCACTTCCATCTGATGCTAATGGCTGTGGTTTCCCAACTCAAACCCCAGAATTTGAAGCCAGACTTGGCACCCCTTTTGCTTAGATCACTTCTTATGGGCAGTAATGACCAGTAATGAAACAGCCAAAAGCCCAGGTGGCTCTCCTGCAAATGTACATTTCAGAGCCTTGAGACCTGATCCTGCAGCTGCCAGCTTCACCCTGTGAAAACCATTAGCAGCTGGCTTCATGTCTAGAAAAAGAAAATGAAATATGCTACATTTTCATGGCCATCAATCAGCAGATGCAGTGCCAGAAAAGCTTCATAATGATGTAGAAATTGCCAATTGACTTTGCAAAAAAAAAAAAAAATGTTCTTTTCAGGAGAGAAACATGTAGGCAAAAAACAACAGATGATCTCAACATCCGCTTGTGTGCATGGGGTAGTGATCCCTTTCTTGTTCGGATGGGAGGGGACTGAGAGCAGAAAGCACGTTCACTGCTGGGGGTAGGAGCGCTCGCCCTCGTACCTAAGGGTGGCAGCGGGGGCAGGAGCGTTTTTCTCAGCACCCGTCAGCACTACCTCCACAGAGCTGTGGCAGCAGGGTCATCCCCAGCCTTACCCAGGATCAGAGGAGTGGCTTTGCTTTCGTTGCTGAGGTTTCTGTTATTCTTGCTGGGAAGAAATTTCTGAGAGCAGAAGACCTTAAAATGAAAAATAAAGTTGGAAACCTTTGAGTTACAATACGGGTGCGAGCAAACACGGTGGGGAGCAAGACAAAAACACTAATGAACAAAATGTTACTTTTTGGGTTTGGTTGCTTTTTTCCCTAATGTTCTACAAAATGACTGAAAGCTATCAGCAGCATTGCTGCTCTTAAATGTTGCCTTTCCAAAGATTTGCCCGCATGTGCCCCTTTTTATTATCTTCACTGACTTCCTGACAGAGATACTGAAATGTCTGGCATGACTCACGCTGTGAGCAATCCTTTTGTGAGGACTGAATGAAAACAGGCTGATAACAAGGGCGATTTCATTAAAAAAAAAAAAAAAAAAAAAAAAAAGAAAACAGCCAGGTGACTGGTTATATGGGACGTTATTGAAATTATGCATGCAGAAGTCTAACACTATCATATTGTTTTAGATCATGTTTTCCATGGCGCGGGAGAAAGTATCTTTGTCAGCTCAGTGGAGAAAGGTTGGAGATGATTGAAGTAAAACAGCAGGAGGAGGCTGATATGATTAAGTCACATAGCCAACTGCCCATGTATAACACAGTAATGGAGGTGAAAGTAGAGGGCAAACTAAAATTAAGTCGAAAGGACACGGGAGACAAAGGGCTACACATATAGGACAAGGAGAGGATGTACAATGAGCTGATTTGTACAGCAGGCAGAGTGCAAAATTTTCATGCCCTTATTTAGATATTTCCTGTTAATATTGATGCAAATGCCGTACTAACTAGTGCTGGAATGGACAGTCTGTTTAGCGAGCACGCATGGAGAGAGGCATGTTTAATTAATTTTACAGTCGTGGGCAGAGAGGTCAGATGACAGCCTGTGAGTAAAATCCCCAGCAGCCAGATTGGACAACAGGAGAAAAAATAGAGTATCTGGGAGAAAAGCGGGGTCGTCTCTGGATCCACTTTGGTAATTGTTCACACCTCTTCAGCAGAAAATAAAGTCTTAATTTGGCTACAAGCCACCAGGTAAGAATATAATTTTGTGGGAAATCTTGGTTGCTCCCAAGACAATGTAGTCTACTTTAAATTGTTCCCTCTGGGCAGAAGGATGATGGATACAAGTCACAAAACAACTGGTCACATGAGCCACAAGGCAACCAGGTTATTGGCACCATAGTGCTCTCCAAGGAAGAAACGATCCATAAAAAGTCATTAGAAACTTCTGCAGTTTGATGCAGAGGCTGCTGCAGGTCACATCATTTCAGGTTGTCATTTGTTCCACAGCAATATCAAATAAGTATGTTGGGGGAATGGAAAGCTTGCAAGCATCACTTTTGCTAGTCATCTTCATGGTGCTACTTCATTTTTTTGTGACACTGTCTTGGCTTGAGGCCTAAGTTCAGAAGAATTTCCATGACAATTTACATCATTACGTACACTCACAGAGAGGTGTGCAAGTCACAGTTACCATCTCCAAATATTTCCAGAAGGCAGAAAGACTGCCTGGTACCATCATGCAGTCATCAGACACTACAGAACGGGCTGCTAGAGATTCCTATAAATTTATGTGACCCCTAAGAACATATTATTCTCTCCATCTGTGGATAAGGAACTACAAAACCGGAAAACAGTAACAGGGTGCTAGATACAATCCCAGGAAGGAGTGAAAGATCTAACTCATTCCAAGGTGAGGAAGCAGTCAATGCCTTGAAGAAGCCAACAGGACACTATCCAACACTTGGGGCAGAGCAATCATTTCACCTTCCATCTATTGATACATGAAGTTGTGATGGGAAGTGCTCACAAACCAGGAAACCCCAGAGCAAAGGTTGTTTGTGCTGCCTTAATTTGCTCATTGTGCTTGCAAATTCTAATCCAGTCTCTGTGGCACAACCACACACTGATTTGCTCAGGGACTGGCTCTTCCTTCAGTGCCCAGGATAGATGGCACTCCATTACCGAGCCAGGAGCCAGTATGTCATGTCGTTCGTATTTGTGAGCATATGGCTTTAATGTGTGTATGCCACAAAGTAGCAAAAACCATCTTGGAAGTGCCATTCATTTCCTGATAGGCTTTTTCCTTCTTTATTATAGTAACTAGGTGCTTAATGTGCAGTCATTAATTTACTTTCACAGCCTTTGTGGGGTGAAGGGGAAATATTATTAATGTTATCAAGGCAAAGGAAAGTAGTGCAGGTCCATTAACAGGGGAGGCGAGCAGGTAAAATGACATAGGGAATACAGATGCATTCAAAGCCTTTGTTGCTTCAGTCTTCTCAGAGAAATTTAATTACAATCAGATATTTAGCAGTTAATTTCAAGACAGTAATAGGAATACCAGGCACAAAAAGAAGAGAGACAGCTAAAAATGGGTACATCCTGGTTGTCAGTAGTTGCTGAATCTGCCTTGAGTAATAGCCAAATCATTATTTGAATCATTAAAAATTATCTTCAAAAACTTATGGAGAACCTCTGAGACCCAAAGAAGGACAAAGACAGAAGCACAAATTCAGTACTTAACATCAAAAAGTAAAAAAAGTGTGGTTTGAGAACCTTCAAATCAACCACACTACCTTCAATGCAGGTTCCTAATGACTTATAACTCACAGAGTTATTAGGGAAAATTCACAAGAATAAAATTTGTTACTGAAGGTAGGGCATATAAAGCACAGCAACTCATTAGACCTGTGCACTTGGACTTGAGAGGCCACAGCTGGAGTCACATGTCTAATTTTGATCATCATACTTAAATAAAGCTGGACAAATTAGTGGTGGTTCACAAAGGGAGCAGCAAAGCTAATAAGGGGTCTGGAAACGGGAGCTGCAAGGAAAGTTAAAAGAAATAGGCTTATCTTAGAGAAGAGAGCACTGAAAGGGGTTGCGTTTAGTCTTCTGACGCAGGGAGTAGAGAAGGCAGCAGTTATTCCCCATATCCAGGGATGGCAGAGGAAGAGGGAGACCCGTCCGACCTTGGCCCAGGGGAAGTCTGGACTCTGTATAACCATGAGGGAGTTAAGTGGTGGGACACCTCATCTGGGGAGATCGGTATTTACAAAACCTCCTTCACCTGCAGCTGAAAAGGGGATAGGAAAACCCTAGAGGTGGGTGGCTTAGCAGTATTAGATCCTGCCTCAGAAAAGGAGAAAATAAGGTGATGGGAAAGAACTAATTGCACTATATAAGCCGACTTCCTTCTCTGACAGCGTTGCTGGTCTAGTGAGTAAAAGGCAAGCACGAGGTGTGATGTATCCTGGGTTCACCAGCATCTTCAGGCCAATGAGTTAAGAGTTTCAGAGACAGGGGTATGGGGTTAAAAGTGTCCCAACCACTGAAGTGTCTGATCGCTGAACCCAGAGCTGCCCAAATGTGAACGGGGCACAGATCTGCTCTCACCTTCCATGAAAAGTGCAGAAGCTTCTTTTCACTCTTTCACACTGAAATGAAACAAAACCCCTTTGAAATGTTTAGTAAAAGTACTTAGAAAAAGAGGGAAAGATCTTCCCCTCCATCCCCTCTTCCCCTCATTGATCCCCTGATAGCCATCAGCCCAGGAGATAATAGCATTAATTTGGGAAGTTTTGCTCAGGGAGACTTAGAGTGGAGCCCGAGCCTCTCATTTTGTGGTCTCTCATGTGTTTTGATTATTCCAAAGTACAGAGCTTTCTCCCTTTTCTTTTCTCCCTTTTTTTCCCAGAAGAAATTCCATACTAAAAATTACACAACAGTAAACTCAAAAGGAAAAACCCGCTTCTGTGAAAATCTCAGCTGTGGCAAGTCAACATTTTCCAACAGAAAAATTTTTCATCAGAAAGCTCACAGCCAGCTCCGACATCGAAATTTCAGTAGCAGCTAAGCTTTAAGTGCCTCATATTTCTGCATATCAGGGTCGTCAGTCAGGCACCCAGAAAACAAAGAGCAAAAAAGTAATGATCACCTCTGACACGGCTGGAGTGACTTATCCAGCGTGACACAGGCCCTCGTGGCAGCCGTATCAATCACCTCCTCGGGGCAGCGTTCTCGGATTATTTT